CTCAGATGAATGTATGAAATAACTTTGGATAGAACCTAGACCTTCTGTCCCATGAAAGGCAAAAACGTGAAAGAATGAAATCGTTAACTATGGACATTAGTTTTACGGTATTTATCTAAGTGACTGGTTCTCATAAGCTGCGAACACTAACAGAGCTTTGAGTTACATTCAGCGAGGTTGTGCTAGTGAAAGAATATAGCGGAACCGCACGAGAAACGGGTTCATAAGAAATTTTATTCGGTTTGAGCCTCCTTCCTCGAAGAAGTCGAGTAGGATCGTCATAAACTATCAGTCGATGAGGCATAAAAGCCGAAACGCATAATTAGAGGTCGATCCTTCTGAGGATTCATGTCCGTTCGACTTGGTTAAGCAGGTCGTGAGGAATTCCAACTTAATTGGGATGCGAGGAAACCGACCTCGCGTCACGGACAATTACAACATCAAACTGACGACCTGCCATCAGCGTTATGATTGCTATCTGTCAGGAAAAGAACAAGTGTCAAGTTCCTATGGCCTGAAGTATAGGAACAAAATTCACGAGGTTACTTTTACGGTCGTGACGAAGAGGCCTCCCAACGCAAAGAAGATGACCGTGCAGGTCCCTGTTATATGACAACCCCTTTTCTTTTAGGTCCGGGTAACAATTCAATAACTTTTGCACGGCCCGCACTGCTGATTATTTCAAACCATTGAAAGTTCGTCGGACCAATTTGAAGCAGAACCTTTTCATTGAATAATGTTCCTCAAAGTTGTTTTTCACCCATTTGTAAGAGAGCCCGTTTCTTGAACCGACCAGGCCACAATTTAGGGTCGGGTTCATAGTTTTGATCTTGCAAGTCATTCGATGTCAAAGTTTCTCCAAAGAAACTCTATTGGGAAGTCAGGGAAGAAAATCTCACCCGAACAAAGAGTACGAGACGTGATTTTTACGGAGATTAAGTAGCCATTAGATCAGCGACAGGATGCGTCGCTGGCGTTGTTTAGAGTCACGCATTCGGCAAGTCTATTGACTTACTATATAAGAGTTATTCTTCAATGTCAGTAAGCCTGAAATTTTGTAAATTATTTTGGCTCATTTTCTTCAATCTGTACGAGAAAAAATGCCAAGATAAAATTGTATTTTTTTTCCTTTATGCTACATTTTATTTTGATTTTTCAGTTTGAAAAGAAATGCTTAATATATTCAGTTGGATTAATTTTTTTAACATCGTAGTCAGAGAAACAGAAAAGGGATAAATGAAAAATTCAGCGTTTACTTTAGTTATGGCTAGCCATTTTGAACAAAACTTGTACATCTTTGATGAAACTTTTATGTTAAAATAGTAACATTTAGAAAAAATCCGCATCATAGAAGAATGCGCAGCAAAATTATACTGCATATATTTGGAAATTTAATTCTTCGAATAAGTGAAGAAAAAATTCAACTATTCAAGAGATGCTAATAAGGTCAGTTAAACTGAATATAATTGTCATAAATTACTGATTCGAAATCGTTTTTGGAGACTGCAATGCTTATGAAGAAACAATCTAGCGTTTATGAAGAAACAAACCAGCTTTTTTTAGAGAAAAATTTCTCCAAATTTTTTTAAAAACCATGTCAGCTTCCAATCTATTTCTTTGATTTAGAGCAGAGAATAGTCTCGAGCACAATATAAAACGTGGCGACAAAACTGAAGAAGCATTTGACATTGACCATAATGCATTTGTTACAGAACGAATAAAAAACTCCGTCCACACTTCGACAGATATTATTGGCATCAATGCTGATAATTATACGCTGACGTGACGACAAGAACTGGTTAACTTAATTTGATTTACTTGTATGAAAAATTTGTTTAACCATTCAATGAATAATGTTGAGCTGAATTCTAACGAAGTGGCCACAACAAATTTATCGAAGACCAACCTAAACTTTAGCAGTCATCTTAAAATCAGTTTCGAGTCTCATGAATGATTAAAAATTATTAGAAATAATATAGGAAGATATTTAAACATGTATTAGGCATTTAAACCGTAGATTTAGGGCAACCAATGAAGCCTGAGGCTGCATTTTTTACCGCACGATCGACACCTTCATATTGCACTGCCATCACATCGCACCGCCATCACATCGCACCGCCATCACATTGCACCGCCATCACATCGCACCGCCATCACATCGCACCGCCATCACATCGCACCGCCATCACATCGCACCGCCATCACATCGCACCGCCATCACATCGCACCGCCAGTACATCGCACCGCCATCACATCGCACCGCCAGTACATCGCACCGCCATCACATCGCACCGCCATCACATCGCACCGCCATCACGCAACTGTCATCCACTAGTAATTTGCGCAAGAAACCCGCAGTTGTTTTATAGTATAATAAACTAAGCAATTTTATAACTGTTCTTCACACAAGGTGACTTTGTACAGCTTTGCTATACGGAATATATATTTATAGTGCTTCGTAATTAATAATAATAATTTTTAATGCTTCAACACTAGCTCGGGAAGAAATTTACAACGTTTCTTCACTGTAAATAATTTTTTAATACTTCATCGCCGGATAAAATTTCGCAATGCGTTGCCTCGCTGTAGCTCAAGTAAGTATTAACAAAATATCCAATATTTCTCGTTGAAGTCAATTTTAGTCGTATCAGCAGAAGGGGTAAATTGTTAAGATCAGCAAGACTGGAGCAGTGAGTTACGGGTTCGAGCCTTAGCTAATCTGTGGAAATTCTGATCGAAATCGGCGATGATGCCTGATAGATAAGACAGACCCGATTGTCTCAATCTTTAACGCTCTTCAACTGACTTCATCTTATATTTTAAGCGATAAAATATAATTCTCAATTAAATTTAAACACGACTTTTGTATGAAGCCAAGTTCATTAACAATAAATGAACGGGTTCTCGTCATGAAAGATTGATTCACTGAAGTTTTTTATTTCTCGATGCCAGTATCCTGTTAAATTGCTTCAAATTAAAATCGTAACTCAAGATGCGGGGAGGTCACATTGCAGTTCTTTGTTTATATATTTTTCGTTTGCGGTCTCTTACGGTTAACGATGGCCCTAAGGAGAAATTTCCCTGCCACAAATTCCAGAAGAAACCCACGCCGTTAAATTGGCTGGATCTGGCATCAAGAATTAAAATATGAAGCCAATAGTGCGGTAAGAAAAGCAAAATGCCACCTGTCATTCTATGCATTAATTCATTTCGTGTCATCTGTCATTGGCAGTTTACTTGTCTACCAGTAAAAAATAATCTAGAAGCATTCCCCGATGTGAACTCTTAAAAATTTATGTTTGTGCTTAAAATGAAATCAATAGATACAGATTCCCCTCCTTGATAAAATCCCGTAAACGGATAATGATACAAAATCAACAGTAGACTTACATGCGGGTGTTCACTGCATTGCTCGAGCAAGATATATAATTTATTGCTCGAGTTGAAGATTCAGAAATCCCGCTATCGAATCGCCTCTTTCTCTTTCATTATATTCTTATAACCAGGAAAGGTTAAGTAAAGAAAATCTGTACAAAAGCTCAATTTAAAAACACTATTCGACTCTGGCCAACAAATTGAGAAAATTTACATTTTTATACTTATTAAATTTTACTATATAGATCCAACCCCAAATTTGCAGTCACTCATGATTCCACCACTTAATATCATATTTAACATTAGATAATATTCCAACGTGATAGGCTAGGAGGTACGCGCTTCAACAGACACTATATATTCCCAGCGCCAAGCTTAAAAACTCACAAACAAATACGCAAACAAAAAATTGATATATATATCAAAAAAAATCTACAGATTACCTAATTAAGTTCAAACTGTAAAGACATCGACAGCATGAATCAGACACGAGTAAAAACAAAGCTGAATTGAAAGCGGCACAATATGTGAACCAGATCATCAACTGAAATGAAAAAAATCAATTAGCAAATCAGATTTTTTTCTCCACACCTATTCCCCAGTGTTGAAAAACAGCGAGTTTATTTGATGCTTTGAATTAGCGCGCCACCGTTAAACATAAAATTCAAATATTAACGCAGTCATTGCTCCAGTTGCTGCGCATTCCAGAAACCCATTGTATTATTCAGCGCAAACACATTCTTTAAGATTCTTAACCTCTTAGAATAGAATAGAAGTGTCGGCATTGAAGAAATAGGCCCATGGCCTGTTGCCGATTCTTGAACTTTTCGTGCTTCAGAAATCGACGGTCAACAACCCTTGCTGTCTTTTGTTGGAGTACGAATATTTTCAGGGACTTAACCTTGATATTGACATTGTCCTTGCCAGCCGCTTGGATTGATAAGGATTACGCACAACCTTGACACCCTGGAAAGCGCATTCCTGTTAGGGTTGGTGCTCACCCCTATAGGTGAGTGGCCCCTGGTGTACACAAGGCATCACATGTGCCCGTTACCTCGTCCCGTTTAGGAAGCTCTTGCCGCATTTGGTGAGCGGGTCCTTGGATTCAGCTTCGGGTTCATCGTCTTTTAATGCTTTGACATAAATCTTCTTGTGTAAATCTTGTGTAAATCCTGCCTCCCATTACCTAAATTTCTCCCATATGACTTCTCAAGATGCATTGTGCTTTTTACTGAGATTTTAAAATCAAGGAAACCGGCAAGTATTTTCATTAAATCTTCACTGAAAACGTTTTCATTGAAGATATGGTGAATTTACATTTTTACATTTATTTTATTTCATTTTTACATTTACATTTATTTTTTCATTGCTTTTAAATTCTAAGTGAACTTACGATTTGGGCAGGCTGACGACAGAAGCACTGATAAATTAAAATAATGTCAGAATCCACGAACTCACGATAAAATTGAGTTCATTTAAATTAGTTACTAAGAAACCCGAGCGCGTACTACCTCTACTTGAGAATCGCCATATTCTAAAAAAATAAATACGATTTCTTATTAAATGGATCTGGCAAACATTGATTACTTGGTCAAGATGACAGGATAAATTGAACGAAAACTTACCTTTTTGTGATGAAGTTCCGATTCCTGAATAAATAGAGTCTTCCAACCGAACAAGATTCAGAGATTGACCGACGCACTAACTAATGAAGCTACTTCAAAGAACTGTGAGTACTCAACATTAATGTTAGTTTAAATGGCGTCGGTGCGTCCACGCGTGCACGTCACACCAATGATAATACTCGACGTAACCGACCCTGGGAGCTCCAGAACCGACGTTGAAGATGCGTACGCCGCGCCGGTTCAGCTAACTCTGAGCGCCTCGTCGTCCTGAAGAAACCAGTGCAACTTGGCCCGTGCCCGCCGTACTCCTCCTGCTTGGCCGGCCAATGCGCTGCCCTGCACAGCCGCAAGCAGGGCTGCTGCTCCCAGCTTGACCCGATTGTCCTTTACGACATTTCCCCGTGTTTCACGTGCCTCTTCTTCCACCGAGCAACTTTCAGATGAAAAAACTGGCGGGGCACTGATTTTATCTAGAATATGTAATTTTGTTTATCATTTATATTATTTTAGCAAACCTTCTAAATCTATCATAGTACAGATTATCGCGTAATATTTTAAGAAACCGAATTAGTTGCGACTGAACAAAAAAATATGAGCAAATCCAACAATCCAAAAAGCTACAGTCCTTCACATTATATTCGTTATCTCTGGCATTCAGCCTCAAGTCCATTAATGCTTCATTTAGAGAGGCTCCATAACTGTTGAAATTTCGAGCGGCTGTCCTAACAATGCAGCTCAAATTACCAGCCGTCAAGAAAAAGAAGTTGTTGACCGGCCATTCTGAACGCTGGACCGCATCAGAACAGGTCCGGCCGGCGGCTTGGTACTGTTCCTGTAACTGTACCCCATATGTTGGAGGGCCGCATGCAGTCCTCGTTCTGTGATGTGGTGCTCGCTGAAATCCCCTGCTGTGATATCTCGAGTGTAACTTATGACCAACGACATGGAGTGATCTGGCCACTGCGAGAAGCATCTCTACTTATCAAGGGCCGACCTGCAAGACGTCTTGCAAAGTGCCGAAAAAATGAAATAATTTGAAAAAAGGGTTGCAAATGTTCTATGTTTTCTATGTGTACGGGACCAAACAAATGATAAAAACAATTCTTTTCATTTGTTAATTTGAATATCGAAGATTGAACATAACAAATATACAAATTAATGTAATTCCGAACCAAGTTAAATCATTGAAGCTGAGGTTGAAGATGACTCTGATGTTTTTCGGCTCGAGAATTACCTACCTCACTTGATTAATGAAATTTCGCTTACATACTGAACCTAATAATCATTCATATATCTCAAAACTTTTTAGCTACTCCGTTAAAATGATGAATTCAAATAATAGGATTTAACTGATGATTATATCGCTAGAAATGTTTATTCGGCACTGAATAAATTTCAAGACCCCAGGATTAAATCTTGCGTGGTGCTTTCGGGCCTTCATTCTTGGTTCTCGTATTTCATAAGCTCGGGCCGTATGACGCTCAAGAAAAGTAAAGGACCACGATGTACTAAGAGAAATAAAATCTCCTTGTAATTTTGACTCCATTCACTGCTACAATGCCCATGCAAATAGCGAGACACCATCTAGTTAATTAGTAATCCCTGCATTGTACTGCACCATGGAGATGGGTACCGCACACCTATGATGGGTATACCAGGTCAAACATGAATTTGTTTTTCCTCATACAAGCCTTTGGGCCAAATTATCAAATCACGATTAATGTTTTTCTGATAAATTGTAACCGTAACTTTTATAAATTACAAAATCTCAAAAGTTTATTGCACTAAACATTTCGATGTCATGCAGAGTAGCGCGACATTCTGGATGGAGCATTGAGGGGAGGCTGTCCATCATGACACGTCCTTGCCTAATTACAGGGACTTCGTTCACCTTTGAAGATCTTCTTTGTGAGGAATAAATTCAAATGATCTAAGATTCAACGCGCGTCAAAATGAGGTCGGTCTGTAGCACTCTACGGCACCACTTGATTATTTTAATTAATTCTCAAGATGTCCAGAGTCTCGAGCAGGATTTTTTTTTTTTTCAATGAAACGTATGTCTACATAATCATCTCACTACTTATATCTCTTCAAGAACGAAAACGAAGAAACAGCGTTGAAATTTGTCTGAATTTTTTTGTGACGTACATCAGCAGGCATTGGAACTTGGTACATTAATACCGGCGAAGAAAGATCGCTGCGACTTCGCGAGTAATTTCCTATAGGGGCCGTGATAAAAATTTCGATTGCGCGTCACAATTATTTTGAAAAACGATTTTCAACAGACTTAGGAAAATTGAGGAAGTAGAACCGACGATCAGAAACAGATCACAACAGATTTGTCGACAAAAGTTGAGACCACACATTTTAAGCATTGAACCTTTGAAAATACGAACAACTAACGTGTTCGATTTTTCGAGGTGACTCAAAAAATGACTCGAGATAACAAAAAAGTTCTGAAGTACATCACTGAACTAATAAATTACTCACTCAGGGCAATTCACATCTTTATCAAATGTAAGTATTTTACGGACGTGACTCATATAAGCTTTTCAAAGATGTTATCATACATGCATTCTTCATGACTGCTCGATGGTAGGTTGATGTAATGCTCACCGTATTGCTAGATGCATGTTTGATGTATCACTTACCGTATTTCTAGATGCATGCTTGATGTGTTTCTTACCGTATTGCTATATTCATGCCTGACGTAATGTTCACCGTATAGCGAAATATACGCTTGATTTACTGCTCCCGTATTGGTAGATCCATGTTTGACGTATTGCTCACCGTATTACTAGATGCATGCCTGATGTATTGATCATCGTATTACTAAATATATGCCAGATGTATAGCTCACAGTATTGCTAGATGCATTTCAACTGCAGCTCACACATCCAGCGCAGAGCGGGATGATCGCGCGATAAGCTATCAGACGACGCCGGAAACGGAGGTTACAATAGCTCTCTTGGTGTCAAGAGAGCGGCTGCTCGGTCGAGTCGGTATAAGAAATTAAAAGGCTTCCGCAGTTAATTTGTTTTTCGGTATCCAGCGAAAACGTCAAATAGACATTCTTAGAATTTCTATTATTTATTTATTTTTTTTTTAATTTCAATTGTAATGAATTTCTGAATACGAACTTTGTTCATGAAAGCAAAATTCGTGCTGCGCGCGATTGGTTCTGCCATTACTTCGGTTAAACTTCTATCATAACATGACTTAAGCCAATCTTGACTTGAGTGATAACTTCAATCGAGTTATAAGTTAAACACAATACTCAACAAAATAGAGAATATGAGTTACTTAAGATTAGGACATGTGGCTGTGAAATTGTGTTCCTTTCTCACGAAAAGTTACTCGGGAACGCTTACTTAGGCACTTCAATATTCGCGGATGATATAAGCGCACGTACCCATTATCTTCTTAACGCCGAGATAAAACTCACATCTTATTGCAGCATATCAAAATTTGAATTTAAAGATAGTGATTGCTGCATTTATCGTGTCCCAAATTGATCGATAGTGTAATACAGAGCGAAATTTTCGATTTTCTAGCCACATCTGAAGCAACATAACGTTTTCTATTCTGGCCCCTTGGGGAATTCTCGGGTAGACTAATGCGAACTTGGCTATCCTTGAACTACAGGAAACTTTCCATGGTAGTTTCCAGGAGATATTACGTGCGCTGCGGTTATGCCCCCTCCGTAGTATGCATTTACAAATTAGAAAAAGAATATTGTGTATTAACGCACATTATTTCTTAGATGGGAGGCGATTTGAACCGACAATTTTATGTCAAGATTCTTCATGAACTCAAATTTCAACAGATCACGAAATATTGCGAAAAAGAATCTGTAATCAGAATTGAAGCACGCCAGATCCGACGACAAGCATAAGGGCCGTGAAAAAATTTCCCCTCTACCTGAGTAGAAAATGAATAGACAATTGCCATCATGGAAACCAAAGGAGAAAACAATGATTGCCTCCGATTTTTCGTATTCGACATATTTGCGATATCGGTCAACTTAAACTCATCGGGAAACAAGCAACGCTATATTGCCCAATGTGTAGTGAAATGTGAACTTGGGAAACCGTTTCTTAATATAAACGGTCAATATCCGTTAGAGGTTAGAGCGTACGAAGCATCCGGCAAGTAGAGCGCGCGTGTAAAAGTAGAACTCTTCCGGTAATCGAGCAGTGGAAGTTAGCATTTGGCTCACTGACCAACTTCTTGACCGAATATCCTGATGGGAAATAGCTGAAGCAATGATTATCGTAGACGTCAATCCAGACACGCTGTAGGTGTAGTAGGACAACGGCAGTAAGCGTTTCTTGAAGGTCATTCACCTCCCTAGATGCATAAAATTTTTGATTGGAATTGAGAGAGCGGCCAGACCTTTAGATCTGCCATCCATGCAAAATAAATTAATCTATTCAAGACGAAGAATCAAATAAAAAGGACCATTTTTAATCATTCATCAAAATCTTGAGTGGAAAATATGGATCCTACTGCAATCCCTTACAATATAGTCGAAACTAGTGTTCAGCATTTAAAATAGCTGAGCAACTTCATGAACTCCAAAACGTTAAATGACCCTCCTAGTCTGTATTTTCCAGGTTTTAGAATTTTTTGAACTTGCTGAATAAAATTGAATTGATCTCAAATGATTTAAAATATTGAATCAAACTTCATTATGAACCTTCCACGATTTATTTACCTACAAGGATTACCAACAATCAAATTCATAAAGATTACCTACAATCAAATTGTACGTAATCTTTACCCTCTAATTTTTGTATTGCAACTCAATAATACAGATAAGTGTATTAACGGTATCTTATCTAATTCAAATTCAACTTCTTTCAGATGGAATAACTACTATTTTCATAGTATGCGGCATGTGGAACAGCCTCCCTGATAGCATCGTGGACGCTCCGAGTATGAACGCCTCCAAGAACACACTAGACGAAGCTATGCAGGTGCAGATGCTCAGTCTTGAATTGCCTAGCACCTTAAGAGCCTTGCAATAAGTCCAGCAGCTATACCAATCAATCGTCAGTTATGGAAAGTTCAGGTTCAAAAGGCCGGATCCCTTTTGGAATCAAGTCACGAAAAGTACAAGAATCGGCAACAGGCCATGGGCCTATTTCTTCAGTGCCGAGACTTCTATTCTATTCTATATTTGATTCTAAAGACCTTGAAGTCCGCTCTAACCTTTTATTTTTTGATACAATTTTAGAAACCGACGCCTCTTTTGCC